CATGGCTTCTCTCTGACTCTGCCTTCTTTCCCCCAGCATTCACTTTAGTCCCGTGTCTCCCCCCCCCCACACACACACACACACACCCTGCCTAGCTCTATTCTGCCCTATCAGGCCAAGCCAGTTTCTTTATTACCATAACCAATGGTATTCACAGCATACCGAGGGAGGAAAGGGCTCATTTTATCTTTCAGGTTATATTTGGTCATTGAGAGAAACCACAGCAGAAGCTCAAGGCAGGAGCTTGCAATAGAGACCATGGAGGAATGCACTGACTTGTGTTCAGGCTCACAGTTAGCTAGGTTTCTTAGCTCAGGCCCACCGGCCTAGGGATGGCACCATCCACAGTAGGAGGGCCTTCCTACACAATTGGCAATCAAGGATATGACCCTCAGATCTAGACAATTCCCCAACTGAGACACCCTCATATATATAACTCTGAACAATGTCAAATTGACTCCTGAAAAGCCCCAATCCCTTTTCTTCCTTTGTTTTGGTTTTCAGAACCTCTCTGTGTAACAGCCCTAGCTGTCCCTTTTCTTTTCTTTTCTTTTCTTATTAGAATGTGTTTAGGGGCTGGAGAGATGGCTCAGTGGTTAAGAGCACTGTCTGCTCTTCCAGAGGTCCTGAGTTCAATTCCCAGCAACCACATGGTGGTTCACAACCATCTGTAATGAGATCTAGCGCCCTCCTCTGGCGTGTGGGCATGCATGGAGGCAGAATGTTGTATACATAATAAATAAATGAATCTTTAAAAAAATAAATAAATAAAATGTGTTTAGCATTCATATGTCTGTATGCCTGAGGTGGCCAGGAGAGGGTGCTGGATACCCTGGAACTGGAGCATCAAATGATTGTCAAACACCAGCTAAGTTCTGGGAATCAACCCTGAGTCCTCAGCAAGAGCAGCCAACCTCTTACCTGCTGAGCCTTCTCTCCAGGCCTGAAGCAGCTCTCATAAACCTCCTGCCTGCTTCACTGACACACTAAGAACCAAGTTCTCAACATCCTGCCATAACCAGACCATAGCAGAATCTATGTCTAAAAGGAAATGCTAAATTCCAGCATGAGCTCAGGAACACACACACACACTTACACATGCACACACACACACACATGCACATACACATACACTCATGCATGTGTACAGCACACATGCCCACGTGAACACACATGTGTGGGCATGTACACATGCACACACTCGCTCTTCTTCACACTGACCATGTTTTCTACAAAGCATTTGGAGAGAAGAATTGTAAGTCATGGATGAGACTGATATAATCGGGAATAGTGACCCAAAATATGTAAATTAAGACAGCTGTAGTGGTGATGTTTATAATCTCAGTATCGAGGACAGCAGTTCTCAACCTGTGGGTCACGACCCCTGGGGGGTCGCATATCTGATATTTACATTACAGTTTATAACAGTAGCAAAATTACAGTTATGAAGCAGCAATGAAAATAATTTTATGGTTGGGGGTCCCCACAACATGAGGAACTGTATTAGAGGGTCACAGCGTTAGGAAGGCTGAGAACCACTGGTCTAGGGGATGCAGGCAAGAGGATCTGAAGCTCAAGGAGTTGTTCAGCTACATGGCGGACTTGAGGCCAGCCTGGGCTACATGAGATCCTGTCTAAGAAGAAAAGAAAGGAAGAAAGGAAGAAAAGAAAGAAAGGAAGGAAGGAAGGAAGGAAGAGAAAAGAAAGAGAAAGAAAAAAGAAACACATAGTACCACAACAGAACTATAGACCGTATTACAGACACCCATGCCTCTTCTACAAAATGCACTGTCGATTTACACAAGTCATAATACCCACTCTCCAGAATATCAGAAGACATGGGCTAGAGAATGAGGGGCTAGAGAGTGAGCCTGTGAGCTGGAGGCCAGCCTGGGCTAGAGAGTGAGGGGCTAGAGAGTAAGCCTGTGAGCTGGAGGCCAGCCTGGGCTAGAGGTGAGTCTGTGAGCTGGAGGCCAGCCTGGGCTAGAGAGTAAAGGACTAGAGAGTGAGTCTGTGAACTGGAGGCCAACCTGGGCTACGTGACTAGACACTGTCTAGGGGGAAAAGTCAAAGCAATTCTTCAAGCTTCTATACCTAGGGTGCAGCAGTAACACAAGCTGCACGTGATCACGTTGTATGGCACGCACAAAGGAGTGCCTAAACCATCAGGAAATCTGGGTCAGACTCATGGACTTGCTCCCCAGTTTACAGAGTTCTCTACAGAGATGGGAATTCCCCCAGAAAGCTTTGTTATTGTTCCCACTGCTTGTAGGTTTATACTTACTTCAGAATAAGTAAGTTTTATAGAAAAGAAACAGAAATAATAGAAGTCCCCATAAACACAAGAATTACAAGCAAGTTCCTGCGATTGAACCCGGAAGTCCAGACCTCCCTCCGCTCTGCCCCCTTAGGGAACCAGGCTTTTGTGAAACCTCAAAGCCACGTGAGTCAGATAACTCATTTGCATACCCATAATTCCTTGCACCTAATACAATGTTTGAATCTTAAAATATATGTGTGTATATATATTTCACCCAACATCTCCAGCCAACAGAGCTTGGAAGATTACTTTATGGACAAGGTGGTGTGAAGTTCCCAGGGCTGAAAAAGTCACCATCGATGAACTAGGAGATGAAGTTACTGGTGCACATGCTGAAAGGACATGTCCCTATGCTCTGGTTTCTCTTCAGATCGTATAAATCTTTCGCCTTTTACTAAAGATTTCCGTGGAGAGGAACAAACTTGAGTGTTCACCAATTTTTTGTGGCCTTGCATTTTGCAAGGCTGGTAATTTGGTTTTAAAAGTAGAAGGGCATAAGCATGGGTAGAGAGCTACATAGAGACTCTCAAATGACATCCGGTGCTTGAATGCACCCCTACCCCTAAAGATCATTCGCTTGGCATCTGTTGTTGCTTTCCGCTGGGAAGATATTCAGCAAGGGGGCCCAGGTGCTAAGGCTAGTGTTCACCGCCTTTGCCTTTTGCCTTCCACAAACTTACCAGGCCTCAAAGTTTCCTCTCTAACTCTAGAACTCCAGGCCACCTACCTACATGATGTGCAATGTGGCAGGCCATAGAAGGATGAAAAATGGGTGCCCAGAAGCACTAAACAGATGGCTGTCAGGTGGCCCCATGGGGGTGATTGAGCACTGAAAACTTCTCCGCCAAGGCAAGGGTTGCCAACATACATGTACCTCTGATATAGGCCATCATGAGCGCTGCCAGGAAACATCTTAGAAGAGGTCAGGACCCAGACCCTGGAGCCTTGGCAGGACCTGGTGGGATGACAGGAGCAGGAAGGCTGAGGAGGCAAAGCCCCTTTGTCTAGAGATAGCAACAAGCCACAGGGCTGAGCTTGGTCCTGACAGGGAAGGCTGTGATCCCTTCAAAACCTCTCAGTTCCTGAGTTCCTCCCTAAGCTTCTCTCCAGCCGAGTCTCTGCTCCAGGGCGGGTCTGTTCATTGTTGCCTCCAGCCAACAAGTCGGTGTTATCTGAAACACCTGTGAGGCTGTTGAAAGAGAGGAGGTAACACTGTATCCTCAGTGACCCACAGGGCTACCTCCCCAACTTCTCAAATCCCACCGGGACCAATCCTCCCCAGTTCCCTCATCTGTCAAGCAGCACAAGCTTCTGTTCTTACTAATGATTCTAAAAAGAGCGGTCATGAAATATAAACATCCAGAAGAGGGGCTATACGTGCAAGTACAATTTACATCCAATTGTATAAGGGGTTGTGTATCTGGGTGATCATGTGTATATATGTACGGGTGTGTGTGTGCATGTGTGTATGTGTGTGTGTGTCAGAGGGCAGCTTTCAGGAGCCATTTGTTTACTTAGTGTGGGTTCTTGGGCCTGAACTGGGGTCACTGGGCTTGGCAGGAAGCGCCTTCATCTCACCTGCCCTACACTCGGCTTTCTTTATAGGTTCTCGGGAATCCACTCAGGCTCTCATACCTGAATGACGCGCCCTTTATTGGTTGAGAGATCTTTGCAGCCCGCATCTGGATTTTCATGGAAATGTCCAGTCTGTAGGACAACACAAATGCCAGAGAGGACACCCACACAGGGCGAGGCAGACACCAGCCTGGCATCCAACCCAGAGCGGGAGAAGGGCTGGCAGCCTGGGGAAGGAGGATGGGAGCTGAAGTTGCCCCGGTACAGGCCTCAGGACGGGATGGACAGTGCCCCTTTGGAAATGACTGTCTCCAAACACTTGTCGGGAAACAGGGAATTCCGAAGATGAAGTGCTATTTTATGCCCCAAACCAGTTCCCGAGAGTAGCCAGTCTCAGGACAGGAGCACTATACACACAGAGTAAAGCTGAAGAAGAGCCTCGTGGCACTTGTTAAACACTGAAATACGTTAGCACTTTGAACATTTAAACACTGAAAATGGAAAAATGAATACACCATTCAGACATGGCTTTGCCTTGAATCCCATCAACTTGCCCTGAGCCTCCCACCATCCAAGTCAACACTGACATGGGGTCCTGTTAGGGAAGGAGGTGGGGGTGGTTTGGATAAGAATGGCCCCCATAAGCTCATCTATTTGAATACTTGGTCATCAGGGAGTGGTGCTACTTCAGAAGGATTAGGAGGGGTGGCCTTGCCTGTGCATTAGGACGCAGAACTCTCCGCTACTTCTCCAGCATCACATCTGCTTGTGTGCCCTGCTCCCTGCCCTGATAATGGACTGAGCTCTGAACCTAGAAGTGAGCCCCTAATTAAACGCCTTCCCTTATAAGAACTGCTTTAGTTATGGTGTCTCTTCGCAGAAGTAAACACTGACTAAGACAGAGTTTCTGGTGGGAGCAGAAGGGGAAGCTGGCATCTCTCTTTCCAGGGGAAGAAGAGAAGCTGGTACCCAAGCGCAGTACTTCCAGAAAAGAAGAGAACACAAGTCTGATGCCTTGGCCAGCAGAGCACACTCTACTGTCTCAACAGAAAAGGCACACAGCACCAGGTACTCCTCCATCACACAAAACAAGGTCACCTCATACCTTCTTCAGTCCTCCAAATAGAGTGTCCGTCTCCAGCTCAAATTCCTGGTCCAGTTCATCTTCATGCTCTAATAAGAAAAAAAAAAATCTCTGTTAGTCACATCTTAACTAAATTGGGTCTAAGTAGCAGACATACCTAAGAAGATAAAATACGTCCTGTAGACTCAGCAGCAGGCAGACCTTCCACATCCCTGTAGTTCCTTCCTTGTGAGTTCCAGGGAATGCAAGGTGGGGCAGGTGGAAATGTCCCTCTCACCTTGGATAAAGGTCACAAAGAGAGAGATCAGGACTGAAAAGTGCTCAACACAGGGAGTCAGAGAAGGTTGAAAGGCTCAGCTGCAGAGAAACAGGCTGTCCAAACAGCAGGATGTGGCCCCCTGCAGGCAAGGTGTCCTCACGGAGTCCTGGTGGTCACTCCTCATGGACAGATGATTTCCAGTGGCAGGTTCTCAGCATCTGTTTCTCCTTGGGCAAATCAATCCTGCAGCTGTGAACTGTTAGATAGTTGTAGACTGTCTGGGGAATGGCTCTCGTCTGTAATCCCAACATTGAGAGGCTGTGCAGGTATGGAATATTTTTACATAGGCCATGACTCAAAACTGGCAGGGCATTTGTGGCCCTTAGTGCCACAAGTGCATTGTATGATAGGCGCTAACACGGTGTTCTAGAATAGAACCAAGGCCGGAGAGTAAGCATGCTTACAGATAACCAGTACCGCTCAACTACTGCATATACATATAACATGAACATGGACACTACAAAGCTGAGACCTTATCTCCAAACAACAGCAGCAGGAAAGGAAGAAGGTGCCCTCCATGGTAGCAACTAAGACAGAGCTGTCACTCTGAGCCTCGCCGGCACCCACAACAACCCCACCCCCACCTCAGTCTCTGTGGGCATCGCAGATGCGAGCCACCATCCAGACAGACTAAAATTAGCTAAGATCTCACAGCTGCAAAAGCAAGCCGCTCAGTGAAGAGCAGATGCTGAGAAGCTGCTGCAAGACATCTGCCCGTGAAGAGCAGCTGCCGTCAGACGCTGTGAAGGCACCTTGTCTGTGCTCACGACAACCTGCAGAACAAAAGAATAGAAGACCCTCTGCCTGGAGCTCCTTCCATGCCACTGAAAACGGAGCCTGTGAAGACCCGCACCCCAACACCACTGGGTACCAAAACTGGAAACCCTCACAGCACTGGGGACAAAGTCTGGAAGCCCCTAGTGCCACAAGAGTCTAAGCTTGGGAGCCGACAAAAGACCAAACCTGGAATCCCCCATATGGGGCTAAGGACAGAGCCTGGGCGCGCCCCATGCCACTGGGAACCTGCAGCCAAAACAACTCTCTCTGCTAAGGTTCAGTTCCTGTTCCCAAAACACAGCCTGAGAACACGAGAATGGAAGAATTTCTGCCCAACAGCCCAGGTTACCGGTCAGCTATTTATCCTCACCCTTCACAAAAGGCTACATCAGATCCCCTCTGCCTACTAAAGGTGAGGTTTGCATTTGAATCTCTGCCAACAAGCTGTTGTGTAAGTCATTTACTTGCAGCCGCTAACCTTTCTTTTTCACCCTACAAAGTCTGTAGTAGTTCTGGGGTAGGGTCCTTAGAGGTCACACACACACACACACACACACACACACACACACACACACCAGGCCCTGCTGTTTCCCCGCATTTGAAAGACTCCCATCAGCTCCCACTCAACCTTATAGCAGTAAGAAGCCAGAGAACACAGCCAACTGGGGCAGTAAGTGGGAACGTGGAAGGGAACAGAAAAGATGGGCTTCTAGCAAAAGAACTCAATGACAAGTCACACTCAGTTATTCATAAGCAGATTATGTTATAGCAGAGACACACACGGTAAGAAGTGGGAAGTCTGGGGCTTCCTACCGCCTCCAGTTCCCTCTCCGAGAATGTCTCACCGATAACCCAATAAAAACAAGGGAGATCTGTAAATAGGATGCAAAATGGCAAACTGCCAGAAGACCTCCCAACAAGGCCCCTCCTCCTGAACTCTGAACGTCTTAGGCCAATGGCTGACGGAGCCCTGTTGGGGGGAGGGGTGGGTTACCAACACAAATCACTGATTGGGGGATAAGAACAGGACCAAGAAGCTGGGGCCCCAATTCTAGGGTTTGCCCCAGTATGTACTGTATCTAAGGACTTTCTGAGAGGCTTATTAAAGTACTCAATAGACAGGACTGGGGAGATGGCATCATTGGTAAAGTGATTGTTGAACAAGCCTGAAGACCTGCGTTCAAATCCCCGGACCCAAGAAAAGCCTGGTCCTGCAGTGCATGTCTGTAAATCCAGCACAGGAGAGGTGGAGACCAGCCATCTTAGCCCAGTGAGCAAGCTCCAGGCTCAGTGAGAAACACTGTCTCAGAATAACAAGGTAGACAGGGAGTGAGGAAGAAACCACTTGTTTGCTGTTTTCTCAACCGCCATGTTGCTGTGCTTAGCATAAGGTTCCCAGACCCTCATCTACCTTAATCACCAGAGTCAATACAGGAGACACCAATGCAAACAAACCTGCAAAGGGCTAGGCTAACAGATCTGCCATCCCTGTAGGAAAGTCACGAGTGACATGGAGGTTGCCATCTAGCACACTGGGGACCTTAACTGTCACTGTGAGAACAAAGGGAGACAGGTTGTCAATCCTTGGCAACCTACTTGGCAAAGCACTGAGGTCCTATCACTGGGCCCTATTAAACAATGGCCCCTTGGTGGCCCCATCCACCCTCAGCAAGCTCCTAGGGCCAGGCCACCTACTCAAGGACACAACCACTTGCCTTTTCCCCTTACCAGGAATGAACTCTCTAAAGTCACCAGCCCGATTGCAAACAAGTTCTCTAATCATAACAGGAAGTAACCACCTCTTCACCAAGCCCACGTCCCGTGAGAGGTTGGTGCATTGCATGAACCGTGTAAAAGAAAAGGAAGGTCGCCGTGTGCTCCAATGAACTGACTTTAGCAATGGCTGTGCCTGCAGGGCAAACAGGGAAAAGTGAAAGCACAGGGCCAGCGTGTTTGACTTCAGTTGTAGCTACTCTGGAGACAACTGCTACATAGAAACAAAGAAACTGGAGGTGGCAAGTCAAACAGAAACTTTGCACCATGAAAATGGCTCTTCAGATCCCCAGGTGTTATGGTCTGTGTAAAGAGACAGTGGCCACAGATCACCGGCTAGTAAAGAAAGGAGAACAGGTGACATGAAAACTCAAATCAACAGAAAGCAGAATTCAGCTTATGCAAACAAATGTCAATAACAGGCCACTTGTGCAGAAGGCCAATGCTTGGGGACTGTGTGGTCACCAGGATTCAACTCGGCTACTGTTCATTAGGAAATGGTTGCCACAATTAAATAGACCTATAACTGCTGAAGAAATAGAAACAGTCATCAAAAGTCTCCCAGCCAAAAAAAAAAAAAAAAAAAAAAGCCCAGGACCAGATGGTTTCAGCTCAGAATTCTACAAGATTTTCAAAGAAGAACTAATACCAATACTCCTCAAATTATTCCACAAAATAGAAACAGAAGGAACATTGCCAAAATCTTTTTATGAGGCTACAATTACCCTGAAACCCAAACCACATAAAGACATTACAAAGAAAGAGAATTACAGACCAATCTCACTCATGAACATTGATACAAAAATACTAAATAAAATACTGGTAAATAGAATCCAAGAGCACATCAGAACCATCATCCACCATGATCAAGTAGGCTTCATCCCAGAGATGCAGGGACATATGACATATGAAAATCTGTCAACGTAATCCACCATATAAACAAACTGAAAAATAAAAACCACATGATCATCTCATTAGATACTGAAAAAGCTTTTGACAAAATACAACATCACTTCATGACAAAGGTCTTGGAGAGCGGAGGGATACAAGGAACATACCTAAACATAATAAAGACAATATACAGCAAGCCAACAGCCAACATCAAACTAAATGGAGAAAAACTCCCAGCGACCCCACTGAAATCAGGAACAAGACAAGGGAGGAGAGAGGAAGGGAGGGGAACAGAGAAAAATGTATAGCTCAATAAAATCAATAAAAAAGAAAATGGTTGCCACAGAAAACAGAAAAGCTGCTAAGTTTAGCTAAGTCCAAACTCTGCTCCTTGAGTAAGAAAATAAACCTGCTGAAGGGATAAATGTGAACATTTTCTAAGGCAGGGAAATGAGGTGCGTGCAGTATCTGGACATTCTAAGAAAATGGAAACATGCCATTAACTCAGAATATGGGAACTTTTCAATCAGTCTCCTTTGGAGGAGACTTGAGCCTCAGCAGCTGAGAAGAGAGTGAACCAGTGGAGTTAAGGCACTAGGTACAGTGGCTCACAGGGAGGGGTGGCACCCGTTGCACCAAAGGCAGAATCTCCAAGGCTAACACTGCAGTCTGGCCAGGCACACTCGGAAACCGATTCTCATTTCAGCTTAGAGGAATGCGGTCATCTAAACCACTGTGGTCAGGGTGCACAGCAGATGATGTCGGGCTGCTCCTGAAAACTTGATTCCCTCAACATAAAAGGCATTAGCAGGTTGGACAAAGAAAATCCTCTGTCATCTGATGGGGTGCGGCAGGTGAATACAATACAGCACTTAATTCTGGGCAGCTCTTTCTGTCATGGATTTGTTTAAGCATACGTGCGTGTGTGCACGCTCATGTGTCTAAGTCTGCATGTGTGTATGAGTGGGTGGAGGACACTCAGCCTTGCCTGCCCCTAGAGAACATTGTCCACCCTATATTTTGAGACGAGAGCTCACACTGGGCTAGCCCTTGTCTAAATGCCAGCAAGCCCTGAGGACCTGCCCATCCAAGTCTCTCCAGCTCTGAGATTACAAACCCACACCATGACCTTCATCTTTAAAACAAAATAAACAAACAAAAAAGGTTTCTGGACACTGAACTTAGATCCTTCACTGAGTCATCTCCTAAGACTGTCAACTTTTATTTTAAATGCTCACTTATTTATTCATTCATTCGTGTTTACAGGTATGGATTTTTGTCTGCATATACGCAGGTGTGCCATATATTTGCAATGCCTACAAAGGCCTG